CTGGGTCCCGTTCAGTCCCCCCAACACGGTGTGCCTCCCTCTTTAGCCCCCACCCTCCCCGCCTTCTCTGGCCCAACTGTGTGTTCCCCCCTCACTGCCCCCCACCTCTCTGTGTCTCCCTCAGTGTCCCCCTCTGTCAGTGCCCACCTACCTCCCAGTGTCCCTCTGTCAGTGCCCCCCACCTACCTCTCAGTGTCCCCCCTCTATCAGTGCCCCCCACCTCTCTGTGTTCCCCCTCTCTCAGAGATGCTGAGGGACCAGCAAGTGGGCAGTCTGAAGATGAGACAGACAGAGACCGTCTATAAGGATTGACTCATAGGAGGCAGCAGGCAGGGACCACGCTCTCTCTCTCTCTGCATGTCTCTCTCTCTCTTATCCCCCTCGCTGTCTCTGTTGCTCATTGCCAGCAGGGCAGTCTCTCTAATTGGCCTGGCTGTGTCGCAGTCTGTCTCTCTTGGCAATCTCTGTCTCCTTGGGTCTCTTGCAGTGATTCAGCCTCTCTCTCTCTTCTCCCACACACACTGTCTCCCTCCCTCTCTCCCTCTGTCCGTCTGTCTCATTAAGATTTCAGAGCAGGTTCTGTATTCTGCAACAATCACTTTTCACAGCCATAAAAAGAGACAGAGAGAGACAGAGAAGAGGGAGATAGACACAGAGAGAAACAGACAGAGAGGGAGAGAGATAGAAAGAGACAGACTGACAGGGAGAGAGAGAGAAAGAGACAGACAGAGAGTGAGAGAAAAAAAGAGACAAGAGGATTAAGAGAAAAAGAGGAGAAAAGAGAGAGGGGGTAATGTGTGTGAGATACAGAGAGAGAGAATGTGTGTGTGAGACAGACAGAGAGAGAGAGAGAGAGAGAGAGAGAGAGAGAGAGAGAGAGAGAGAAAGGAAATGTGTGTGTGAGAAAGAGGGGGAATGTGTGTGTGACACAGACAGAAAGAGAGAGAAAGGGGAAATGTGTGTGCTACAGTATACTAACTATATATTACTAAGTGAGACAGACATTACTAGTACTGTATATTACGGACTGAGACAGACATTACTAGTACTGTATAGTACTAACTGAGACAGGCATTACTAGTACTGTAGATTACTAACTGAGAGAAAGGAAATGTGTGTGTGAGAAAGAGGGGGAATGTGTGTGTGACACAGACAGAAAGAGAGAGAAAGGGGAAATGTGTGTGCTACAGTATACTAACTATATATTACTAAGTGAGACAGACATTACTAGTACTGTATATTACGGACTGAGACAGACATTACTAGTACTGTATAGTACTAACTGAGACAGGCATTACTAGTACTGTAGATTACTAACTGAGACAGGCATTACTAGTACTGTATATTACTTACAGACAGGCATTACTAGTACTGTATATTACTAACTGAGACAGGCATTACTAGTACTGTATATTACTAACTGAGGCAGGCATTACTAGTACTGTATAATACTGAGACAGACAGTCAGATAGACATTACTAGTACTGTATATTACTGACTGAGACAGACATTACTAGTACTGTATATTACTAACTGAGACAGACAGTCAGACAGACATTACTAGTACTGTATATTACTGAGTGTAGCGGAATGGACATTTGCAAGCTACTTTTTATTCCCTATATTAGCTGGCTGTATCATCCCCATGTTATTTTGTGTGTTTTGCCCTGGTATTTCGTGTGGTTCTTCTTTGGCTGTTCAGGAGACTTCATACGAATGGAATCCATTTGTCTCCTGAACGAGGACCACCCCTGTACCTCATTATAACGTTAACACCAACCACTTAAGTGCGAAAGCGCAAGGGAAACAATTAATGAGTGCTTCTCCTGGGTGGCCGCCATTTCGTATAACCGAACACATGGCTGGGAGAATGGCAGCCATCTTGTCTCCCGAACGAACGAGGGCAGCAGTACTTGGTCGTCGAGTGCCTGAAACTGTTTTCAGTCAAATCTTCCACACGATGCTGTTCCATTCTACCAAACCGATCTAAATGATTCTTGGATATGTTGGTCACTCAGATCGGGGCTATCAGGGAATGTACTTTTTGTGGGTTCCTATGTATGGTTGGGGGACTTTCGGGGTATGGGATATTTTTGGGATTTTTTGCACCTGAGAGATAATTAAATTGGAGGAGTTTACCCAGGCAATTATCTCTCAGGCACAAGGGATCCTGGGATTGAAATCCTTTTTTTTTTGTGCCTGTGAGACCCATTGCATGGGAGATGGCATAAAAACTGTGTATGTGTGAATAAAATTCAGTTATACCCCCCAGAGCTGAGTGTCGTCCAGTTGCTGGGGAAGAGGTGGGAAATTCTTGGAGTATTTTCCTTTGCCTGACCGTTCCATTGGATTGTTTTACTTGTTCCTGAGTATATTTTGGAGTAACCAGCGGAGTAGAGTCCCTGCTAGAACTAGGGCTCCGCTACATTGGTTGGCAGCATCGGGATCCAGAACTCACAGAGGATCAAGTACCGGTGGATTTAGCAGTGCCAGATGGACCCTGGATGGAGATTTACTACTCCATCCTGAAATGGTCCACGCTAAAGGATCTCCTAGAGGCAAGAGTGATATCAGCGAGCAGCAAGAAAAACGCTACTCTCGTTGCTGAAGTAATGGAGGAATACCGAACAGATGGCGGTTCGGTTCCCGAATGGAGCGGTTTGGTACACGAACGGAGTGGTACGGTACACGAACAGGAACAGACGGATTTCCAAAGGAAATTACAATTGCGGTTGTCTTTTTACGGTGAAAGCCCATCTACAGACATTATTGCACGAACCATGTCGGAGGTCCAGGAGTTTGTGCTAAGGCAAAGGGATCGACAAACCTCTGAAAGAACCCAAGTAGTGACAATGGTGCAAGAGGGTAAGCCCAAAATACCATATAATGCGTTTAAAAGCTATGTACAGGCGGAAGAAGATATTGATGCATTCCTCCAGGATTTTGAAAGACAATGTGCCCTACATAAAATTGATGTCGATGAATGGGTTCAGCAAGCCGACTATCAGAGAGAGCAGCAAAGGCTTACCGCACTGTCCCAGACAAGGAAATCAGGAATTATGGCCGAGTAAAAGGGGTGATACTCGCCAGGTATGCCATTACACCAGAGGCATACCGGATGCGGCTTAGAGACCTGAAAAAGACAGACAAAGTTTCACATACTGAATTGGCTTGCCGGTTGCATCGAGCTGCCCTTGAGTTGCAATTGGTGTTAATGGAACAATTCTTTAACGGGCTGGCACCAGACATCCAGGATAGGTAAGGGACTGCAACCCCACTTCCATCACCGAGGCGGCCAGACGGGCCGACGAATATATGGATGGCCGCTGAGAGCAGAGACCGGTCCAATCCAGACCCTTCTTCAAACATGCTGCAGTACCCCCTGGACCACTAGCGCCACCCAGGCAATATAATAACGCTAATGCCCCACTGCCCCGCTTCCACCCACAAAGCCACCTCCAGTGCCACATCTGTAAAAAGATGGGGCATGTGCGCAGGGATTGCCCCCAGAACCGAGACCCAGCTCTGTGGATCCGCCCGGGGCCACCACCACCCACCAGAGCAACACCGCTCTACTACCAGGCAGAGTCCCCCGCTCAATATGCCAAGCACCATCTCTGGAGCACTGGGAAGTCCTGCACAAAGCAGACCCACTACAGGCCGACACCGATAACCACCAACACCCTTGGCAGATCGTAATCATTCAAGGGAAGGAGGTCCGCGACATGGGAACCACTCTTACCTTGGTCAAGAGCCATTTGGTGCTGGGTGCTGCAAAGATCAAGAATACGGTGGCAATGAGAGTAGCTGGGGGAGCAGTATACTGCCCGGCTACATTTGAATTGGCTACATTTGAATTGGGGAGCAGGGTCTGGAGTGGTGGAGGTGGGGTTGATGCCAGAGCTGCTGGCCGAAGTACTGTTGGGAAATGACCTGGGGAGGCTCACATCAGCTTTTGAGCCCCAGGCACCACCGGAGGAATTGTACCCGGAAGGCAACAGGCCTGCACTCAAGACCACAGCTCACACCCAGAGGCTCAAACACCACCCCTGGAGTGTTTGCCCTGGGATTCTCCCACTGAGTTTGGGAAAGAGGGGGCCACAGGTACACAGGGATAGGGTCACATCTAGTCAGGCAGGGTTAGAGTGAGAGAGGTATGTGTGGGATAAGGGACTGTTGTACAGGGAGTCTGAGCGGGTAGTGGCTGTTTCGGAACCGATCCACACTATTCAGTTAGTGGTACTCCAGAGGCACCAACAGTTGCTGCTCCGCATAGCGCATGACATTCCGCTATCCGGGCATTTAGGGGTGAGCCGAAACAGATTTTGGCTTACCCAAAAATTTATTTTGGCCCAGAATTTCTCAGGATATTAGGCGGCATTGCCAGACGTGTGATACTTGCCAGAGGGTAGGTAAGAGGGGAGACCGCCACAAGACCAAGCTCCACCCTCTCCCCTGGATTGAGGAACTGTTTAGCCGAATAGCGGTAGACCTGGTGGGACCCTTAGCTAAGCCTAGCCACTCTGGCAAAGCTTATATCTTGACCAGGTACTCAGAGGCAGTGGCATTGACCAGCATGCATGTGGAAATGGTAGCGGAGGCCCTGATGCGAATCTTTGCCCGCATGGGATTTCCCCGCGAGAAAAAGTCGGATCGGGGCACCCAGTTCACCGCAGAGACTGCACACCACCTCTGGAGGCTCTGTGGTATTAAGCCGATTGTGAGCTCCCCTTTCCACCCCCAGACCAATGGTCTCTGCAAAAGGTTTAACGGGACATTAATGAAAATGTTCCGAGCATTTGAAGACACTCGCCGAGACTGGGAGAGATTCATGCCGCACCTCCTGTTTGCTTACCGGGAGGTGCCGCAGGAGTCCACAGGGTTCTCCCAGTTCGAGATAGTCCTTGGAAGGCGGGTGAGGGAGCCCTTAGATCTTATCCGGGAGCACTGGGAAGGGAATTTTAGCAAGGATGGAACGCCCATCATTCCATATGATATGTGCTGGAGTTCCATGACCATCTGGAGGAGTTGACTTGGTCTGTCCGAGAGAACCTCCATGCAGGGCAGAACCGCTAGCGCACCTGGAACGATCAAGGTGCCAGGGACCGTAGTTTTCAGGTAGGGCAGAAAGTTTTAATTTTAAACCCTGTCTGAAATTACAAGCTGCCGGCTGCCTGGCAGGGCCCATACAAAGTGGTAGAGCAAAAGTGCGGTACTACTTATGTGATCGGCCCTTGCTCTGGAGCGGGAGGGCGATGCATGCTCCACGTGAACATGCTGAATCCCTACCATGAGCGAGCAGAGGAGGTGGCAGCGATCTGTGCCCCTGCCTCTGAGGACCTCGACAACCTTCCCCTGTCTGACCTCCTAGAGGATGGGAGTCAGTCAGATGAGATAGAGGAGGTCAAATTGGGAGACTGGTTGATCGCTCAGGAGCGGTCTGAGGTAGAGCAGCTATTAGAGGAGAAGAAAGTCACCATCTCTCACTACAATTGATCTTTGTAATGGGTATTGGTAGATCCCCCCAGCCCTTGAAGCCATCCCTAAGTTGGCGTTTGTCACCCCATTCAGCATGTACCAATTTAAGGTCATGCCGTTTGGGATGAAAAACGGTCCGGCTACCTTCCAGAGGATGGTGGACCGGCTCCTGGATGGGTTCCAAGACTATGCCTGCACAAATCTCTATGATATCGCCATCTTTAGCGATACCTGGCAGGAGTACTTGGCACACAGGCTGCTGCACTGGAGTCTGGCACTTCAACCTTTTGACTTCACTATACATTACCCCCCGGTAAACAAAACGGAAATGCTGCCTGGTTGTCTAGACAGACAGAACTGGAAAAATGATCTGTGAGCACCCCCGGACATCCCCAAGCCGATCCGTGGAGGATCAGACTATGTATGCCGTCTTGTGGTTACGGGGGAGCAGTGTAGTGGAATGGACATTTGCAAACTACTTTTTATCTCTTATATTGGCTGTCCGTATCTTCCCCCTGTTATTTTGTGTATTTTACACCGGTTATTTTGTGTGGTTCTTCTTTGGCCATTCGGGAGACTTCATACGAATTGAAACCCTTGCATTTTCTGCAGACCCCTTGGATGGGACTGGGCATAAAAGCTGTGTATGTGTGAATAAAATTCAGTTATACCCCCCAGAGCTGAGTTTCGTCCAGTGGCTGGGGAAGAGGTGGGAGATTCTTGGAGTATTTTGCTGTACCGTTCCATTGGATTGTTTTACTTGTTCCTGAGTATATTTTGGAGTAACCAGTGGAGCATGGCAGACATAACTAGTACTGTATAATACTAACCGAAACAGACATTACTAGTACTGTACAATACTAACTGAGACAGACGTTACTAGTACTGTATAATACTGAGACAGCCATACTAGTACTGTATATTACTGAGACATTACTAGTACTGTATAATACTGAGACAGACATTACTAGTACTGTATATTACTGAGACAGACATTACTAGTACTGTATAATACTGAGACAGACATTACTAGTACTGTATATTACTGAGACAGACATTACTAGCACTGTATATTACTGAGACAGGCGTTTCTAGTACTGTATAATACTGAGACAGACATTACTAGTACTGTATAATACTGAGACAGACGTTACTAGTACTGTATAATACTGAGACAGACGTTTCTAGTACTGTATAATACTGAGACAGACGTTACTAGTACTGTATAATACTGAGACAGACGTTTCTAGTACTGTATAATACTGAGACAGACATTACTAGTACTGTATAATACTGAGACAGACGTTACTAGTACTGTATAATACTGAGACAGACATTACTAGTACTGTATAATACTGAGACAGACGTTACTAGTACTGTATAATACTGAGACAGACATACTAGTACTGTATAATACTGAGACAGACATTACTAGTACTGTATATTACTGAGACAGACATTACTAGTACTGTATAATACTAACTGAGACAGACATTACTAGTACTGTATAATACTAACTGAGACAGACATTACTAGTACTGTATAATATTGAGACAGACATTACTAGTACTGTATAATACTAACTGAGACAGACATTACTAGTACTGTATAATACTAACTGAGACAGACGTTTCTAGTACTGTATAATACTAACTGAGACAGACATTACTAGTACTGTGAACAGCCATTGCGGTCTGAATTCGGTAATTTTCACTGGATTTGTTCATATTGAGTGAATGACTGTGGCAAACTGGGGACTGTAAAAGACTTTCGTGCATGGGACCGCTTTCGGGACATTGGAAATGGTCGTATTTCATATTGCCAGTCTGTATGGATAAAGTATCCGTTTCCCGAACAGTAAACCTGTTCGGGAAACTAACTAACTACCGAATGAGAGTTGTGTATCTCTCATTAACTAAATTGCAACATTGTTTCAATCACGGTTAAAGTGTTTTGTGTGTGGCCATCTTTGCTCGCTAAAAGTTCAGCGGTGTTTGGTCGTCGAGTGCTTGAAACTAAAATTGGCTACTTGATTTCCAAACACCGCTGGACTTCCAGGCAACTCGCTGTTTCGGCAAAATATAGCATTTCGTGTATTCTTTCCATGGTTCACCTAAAGTTGTATTATGTGTGGCGTTCGGTCATTTCTGTGGGGATCTGAGCAGTATTTCGCTAGATTGTACATTCAGATCTCCGCAACCCAATGAGGGGTCATTCGTGCAAATCTGTTGTAAATTGTCTAAATTATAGAATTTAATATAAAATGTTCTGTTTTCCTGTACAAGCTAATAATGTAATTAACAGTACTTGCTGACGTCATCTTGGTCCCTGTACAGTAAGGAATGCTGGGAAACGACCTTGCATTGTCAGTTTCCCATACAGTCCACCTAATTAAAGCCCCTGCTGTAACAGTTTGGAGACCCTTTGCATGGGAGACCGTATAAATTTGGAAACTGTTCAATAAATCTTTCAGTTGACTCCCAGACTATGTGTCGTCTAGTCTTTGGGGAAAAGGGATTATACTACGTCCTGTGCTTTACCTGAGTATTCCTGACTACCAGCGGAGATATCGTGGATTAACCCCTGCTAGTCCGCTACCCTGGCTGTGAGACTGTGTGATGATGTGGTGATTGACTCAGTAGAGTGCGGGTAGTACATCTGAGCTGCCGCTAAGTGTCACTGTACTCCAGACTGAAGAGAACCTCCATCCCTGCAGCCCTCTTCCTGCCTATAATAGGTCACTGAGAAAGTCTTCTTACACTCTCACCGCACTCTCTTGGCACTCTACAATGTGACACTCTGCACGCCACAATCCTACTGCAAACACAATGACCAATACTTATTGTTACAATACTTAGGATATGAAAAATGATGTCTCTCCACATTGCAGTCCCCTGCAACCATGTAATCCTGCAATCCCGGACTATCTGAACACTGCAACCCTGAGAGAGGAGCTCTTTAATCCAGCAATCCTGGAATATCTGAACACTGCAACCCTGAGAGAGGAGCTCTTTAATCCAGCAATCCCGGAATATCTGAACACTGCAACCCTGAGAGAGGAGCTCTGTAATCCAGCAATCCCAGACTACCTGAACACTGCAACCCTGAGAGAGGAGCTCTGTAATCCAACAATCCCGGTATACCTGAACACTGCAACCCTGAGAGAGGAGCTCTGTAATCCAGCAATCCTGGACTATCTGAACACTGCAACCCTGAGAGAGGAGCTCTGTAATCCAATAATCCCAGACTATCTGAACACTGCAACCCGTGAGAGGAGTTCTGTAATCCATCAATCCCGGACTATTTGAACACTGCAACCCGTGAGAGGAGTTCTGTAATCCAGCAATCCCGGACTATCTGAACACTGCAACCCTGAGAGAGGAGTTCTGTAATCCAGCAATCCCGGACTATCTGAACACTGCAACCCTGAGAGAGGAGCTCTGTAATCCAGCAATCCTGGACTATGTGAACACTGCAACCCTGAGAGAGGAGCTCTGTAATTCAGCAATCCTGGACTATGTGAACACTGCAACCCTGAGAGAGGAGCTCTGTAATCCAGCAATCCCGGACTACCTGAACACTGCAACCCTGAGAGAGGAGCTCTGTAATCTAGCAATCCCGGACTATCTGAACACTGCAACCCTAAGAGAGGAGCTCTGTAATCCAGCAATCCCGGACTATCTGAACACTGCAACCCTAAGAGAGGAGTTCTGTAATCCATCAATCCCGGACTACCTGAACACTGCAACCTTGAGAGAGGAGCTCTGTAATCCATCAATCCCGGACTATCTGAACACTGCAACCCTGAGAGAGGAGCTCTGTAATCCAGCAATCCCGGACTACCTGAACACTGCAACCCTGAGAGAGGAGCTCTGTAATCCAACAATCCCGGTATACCTGAACACTGCAACCCTGAGAGAGGAGCTCTGTAATCCAGCAATCCTGGACTATCTGAACACTGCAACCCTGAGAGAGGAGCTCTGTAATTCAATAATCCCAGACTATCTGAACACTGCAACCCGTGAGAGGAGTTCTGTAATCCAGCAATCCCGGACTATCTGAACACTGCAACCCTGAGAGAGGAGTTCTGTAATCAGCAATCCCGGACTATCTGAACACTGCAACCCTGAGAGAGGAGCTCTGTAATCCAGCAATCCTGGACTATGTGAACACTGCAACCCTGAGAGAGGAGCTCTGTAATTCAGCAATCCTGGACTATGTGAACACTGCAACCCTGAGAGAGGAGCTCTGTAATCCAGCAATCCCGGACTACCTGAACACTGCAACCCTGAGAGAGGAGCTCTGTAATCTAGCAATCCCGGACTATCTGAACACTGCAACCCTAAGAGAGGAGCTCTGTAATCCAGCAATCCCGGACTATCTGAACACTGCAACCCTAAGAGAGGAGTTCTGTAATCCATCAATCCCGGACTACCTGAACACTGCAACCTTGAGAGAGGAGCTCTGTAATCCATCAATCCCGGACTATCTGAACACTGCAACCCTGAGAGAGGAGCTCTGTAATCCAGCAATCCCGGACTACCTGAACACTGCAACCCTGAGAGAGGAGCTCTGTAATCCAGCAATCCCGGACTTCCTGAACACTGCAACCAGAGAGAGGAGTTCTGTAATCCATCAATCCCAAACTACCTGAACACTGCAACCCTGAGAGAGGAGCTCTGTAATCCAACAATCCCGGACTACCTGAACACTGCAACCAGAGAGAGGAGTTCTGTAATCCATCAATCCCAAACTACCTGAACACTGCAACCCTGAGAGAGGAGCTCTGTAATCCAACAATCCCGGACTACCTGAACACTGCAACCCTGAGAGAGGAGCTCTGTAATCCAACAATCCCGGACTACCTGAACACTGCAACCCTGAGAGAGGAGTTCTGTAATCCAGCAATCCCGGACTATCTGAACACTGCAACCCTGAGAGAGGAGCTCTGTAATCCAGCAATCCCGGACTATCTGAACCCTGAGAGAGGAGCTCTGTAATCCAGCAATCCCGGACTATCTGAACACTGCAACCCTGAGAGAGGAGCTCTGTAATCCAGAAATCGCGGACTATCTGAACACTGCAGCCCTGAGAGAGGAGCTCTGTAATCCAACAATCCCGGACTATCTGAACACTGCAACCCTGAGAGAGGAGCTCTGTAATCCAACAATCCCGGACTACCTGAAACTGCAACCCTGAGAGAGGAGCTCTGTAATCCAGCAATCCCGGACTATCTGAACACTGCAACCCTGAGAGAGGAGCTCTGTAATCCAGCAATCCCGGACTACCTGAACACTGCAACCTTGAGAGAGGAGCTCTGTAATCCAGCAATCCCGGACTATCTGAACACTGCAACCCTGAGAGTGGAGCTCTGTAATCCAGCAATCCCGGACTATCTGAACACTGCAACCCTGAGAGTGGAGCTCTGTAATCCAGCAATCCCGGACTACCTGAACACTGCAACCCTGAGAGAGAATCTCTGTAATCCAGCAATCCCGGACTATCTGAACATTGGTGACACTGCAGCAATCTAACTGGTTACCTTGTAATAGTTTAGTTGGTTACGCTGTAACAATCTAGCCGGTTACCTTGTAGCAGTTTAGTCGGTTACACTGCAACAATCTAGCCGGTTACCTTGTTGGAGTTTAGTTGGTTACACTAGCCGGTTACCTTGTAGCAGTTTAGTTGGTTACACTAGCCGGTTACCTTGTAGCAGTTTAGTTGGTTACACTAGCTGGTTACCTTGTAGCAGTTTAGTTGGTTACACTAGCCGGTTACTTTGTAGCAGTTTAGTTGGTTACACTAGCCGGTTACCTTGTAGCAGTTTAGTTGGTTACACTAGCCGGTTACCTTGTAGCAGTTTAGTTGGTTACACTAGCCGGTTACCTTGTAGCAGCTAAGTTGGTTACACTGGTCGGTTACCTTGTAGCAGTTTCGTTGGTTACACTGTTACAATCTAGTCGGTTACCTTGTAGCAGTTTAGTTGGTTACACTAGCCGGTTACCTTGTAGCAGTTTAGTTGGTTACACTAGCCGGTTACCTTGTAGCAGTTTAGTTGGATTTACACTAGCCGGTTACCTTGTAGCAGTTTGGTTGGTTACGCTAGCCGGTTACCTTGCTTAGCAGTTTAGTTGGTTACACTAGCTGGTTACCTTTAGCAGTTTAGTTGGTTACTAGCGGTTACCTTGTAGCAGTTTAGTTGGTTACACTAGCTGGTTACCTTGTAGCGGATTTAGTTGGTTACACTAGCGGTTACTTTGTAGCAGTTTGGTTGGTTACACTGGCCGGTTACCTTGTAGCAGTTTAGTTGGTTACACTGGCAGGATTTACTTTGTAGCAGTTTAGTTGGTTACACTAGCCGGTTACCTTGTAGCAGTTTAGTTGGTTACACTAGCCGGTTACCTTGTAGCAGTTTAGTTGGTTACATTAGCCGGTTACCTTGTAGCAGCTAAGTTGGTTACACTGGTCGGTTACCTTGTAGCAGTTTCGTTGGTTACACTGTTACAATCTAGTCGGTTACCTTGTAGCAGTTTAGTTGGTTACACTAGCCGGTTACCTTGTAGCAGTTTAGTTGGTTACACTAGCCGGTTACCTTGTAGCAGTTTAGTTGGTTACACTAGCTGGTTACCTTGTAGCAGTTTAGTTGGTTACACTAGCCGGTTACTTTGTAGCAGTTTAGTTGGTTACACTAGCCGGTTACCTTGTAGCAGTTTAGTTGGTTACACTAGCCGGTTACCTTGTAGCAGTTTAGTTGGTTACACTAGCCGGTTACCTTGTAGCAGTTTAGTTGGTTACATTTAGGGGTGGGCTGGGATGGGGGGGAAGGGGGCAAGAAGGCAATTGCCGCCAGGCTGCCCTTAAACCAGGGCAGGGCCGTCTGCATCCAGCAAAAAAAGGAAAGATCCAAAATCCCTGCCTCTGCCTCCGGCCCTGTCTCTGGATGGGGACTCGGATGTTTCAATTTACCTCTCTCTCTGCAGCCAGTGGAGACGGCTGGCCGTGGTGATGTCAGGAGGAGTGGGCGTGGCTTTCACTGCTCTTCTCACAGGACCGCTGGGGAGTCAGGGAGAAGAGCAGAGGAAGTCACGCCCCTCCTTCTGACATCATCAGGAGAGGCTGGATGACTGCACTGACTGCTGCTCATGCCTCCTGCCCACCCCTCCCTGGCCTAAGGTAATACACATTAGTTTTTTATCCCCCGTCTCAGCTCCTGTGTCCCCCCATCTCAGCTCCTGTGTCCCCCCATCTCAGCTCCTGTGCCCCCCGTCTCAGCTCCTGTGTCCCCCCATCTCAGCTCCTGTGTTCCCCATCTTAGCTCATGTGTCCCCATCTCAGCTCCTGTGTCCCCATCTCAGCTCCTGTGTCCCCCCCACCTCTCATCCTGTGTCCCCACTCTCAGATCCGGTGTCCCCTCCTCCACTCTCAGATCCGTTTCCCCACTCTCAGATCTGGTGTGTGTCCCCACTCTCAGCTCCTGTGCCCCCCACCTTTCAGCTCATGTGTTCCCCCCTCAGATCCTGTCCTCCCCCTCAGCTCCTGTCTTCCTTCCTCAGCCCCATGCCTCCCCTACTACAGCCCCCATAACATCCCCGCTACAGCTCCTCTTCCCCAATTGAAACCCATATCACCCACACCACAACCCCTTTCCCAAATTGTAGCCATCAACCTACTTCAGCCCCTATACCCCCACTACATTTCCTAACCCACCAATTACATCTCATACCCCCTACTACAGCCCCTAGCCCCCTACTACGGCCCTGCCCCCTTACTCAGCCCCTCTCTACTGGCATTAAAAGTGTAACGTTTGTGTGTGTGTAACGTTTGTCATCAGCTTGACAAAGACCTTTTGGGGTCGAAACGTTGCTGTTGTGGTTATCAATAAAGTGCCTATCTTGAACCAAGGAGTGCCTGGACCCCTATTATTTTATTTATTTAGTGATTGTATCTTTCTGGGTGAAACGTTAGGAGGAGTCTCTGTATAAACAATATAATCGGGTTTATTCACTAAACACATGGACATAATCCCTTTAAAGTCACACTATTTCAAGCACAATGACAATTCTTGTATTTGCTAAAGCCTTATGTGATCCAGATACAGTCTCCCTGAGAAAATCTTCAGCAAGCACCCGGATGCATTCAGTGTCCAGATTAAAATTGGTGCCTTGGCATTTGTAAGATTCACAAAGCATCAATTTTAAACTGAACAATGACAGGGTCAATTCGAAAATGACCGTTCACTTGCTTTTATGCAAGTAAATAGTAATTGTAAGGACTATTTCTAGCAGCACACTAGGTCCTCCCCCTGAATTACATTTTTATAATTGCTGGCAAGGCCCAAAGAAGGTTGAAATGGTTGTCCAGGGTTACCTGCAGAGGTAACATGCAGACATTTCGGACCTGGGCTGCACTTGTCAGTCTGATATGTAAATGTTATAGGTTCTCTCTGTAATGCCACATTTGAGCAAAACATCATTTGAAACCTGGGCAGTGATATAACAAAGGGAAAACTGACTTTCTATAACCTTTTATCCATTCTCAGAGTTCTCATATTCTCTGGTTTTGTTGCAATGCATTTGCTTGGACTCTCCCTAAGTTAAAAGGTGGTGGATGGCATTAGTCTGTAATGGCACAAGTGAGTAAAAACTACTTTGAGACCTGAGGCCCAAATAAAGTCTAAACAATCATCCCGGGGTTGCTGTATCTCTCATACAAAGAGAACTTGCTGGAATTTCGGGTTTAGACTGTCCTTATGGGTGGGATCAGTCTTACATTCAAATGTTATAGGTTCACTCTGTAATGACACAAGTGAGCAAAACCTGGTTTAAGACTGAGCATGGATTTACCAGAGGGCAAGCTGGTGAGTTCTTTTGCCCATTCTCAGTTCTCATATTCTTTGTTTTTGTTGCAGTGTATTAACTTGGGTTCTCCCTAAATTAAAAGGGTAATCTGATGTTGACCTCGTGCCCACAGTACATTTACGTCAGTAATTCAGGCATTCTTTTGAAAGACAAATAGCTGTATGCAGAACACAATGAATTATACAAAGACCAAATCACTTGTTCGGTGAAAATTCGTTAATGCAATTTGTCCGTTTGTTTATTCATTTAAATGGTGGGGGTGCGGGGGGAAACTATGGTGGGGCTTTTGCGATGCGGTCCTTTTTGGGGCTAGAGACAAAAGGTTCTAGGAAGAAAGAAAATGTCTCATGGTAAGTATATATATTTTTTTATCATGAATTTAGTTTGTTGGACCCCCTTACTATTATTAGGGTTAAAGTAGATAGGCAGGATAATTTTTATTGGGGTGTGGCAAGGTGTTTCAAGACCCCTAACCATCTGTGGCTTGGGTATTCACATTTTCTTTTTTGGGGGGTGGGCAATAGTATCTCTTCCCACTTGGGTATTTTATTATCTGTGGGAGCTTGAGGTGGACAATAGGTCTCCCACCATTATGAAAGCCACACCTGTTGTTAATGGATGGTGGCTATGGGAGAACAATAGGTGCACAGCCATATGTCACCTCACTAAACCCTGTGTATAGGATACAGGTGGCTGAGAGTACAGGCTGGCTGAATATCATAATCTCTATGGCAATTATATAAACAGGATGTAATGCCAACATCTGCTGTATGCAGCTCCAGTTCTCTCCACCCAGTTAATAACACAAGCCAGCCGTACAAATATTAGTTGGGCGTGAACAGCTGATACTTATCATTGTAATATATCCCATTCGTCCTGGTGACACATTCGTTTGAGTCAAGATTTTTGTATTGTCATATTTTGAAGGCACTGGTAATCTTGAAGGAAGAGTAGACTGATAGGAGGAGTGGGGGATACCAGCAGATAGTAAGGGAACATTTCTAAAGTCTTGCATCAATGAACTTTCCAAATGATTCAAAACTTTTAGAAAAACTTTTTCAAATGATTTATCTACAGACATCACTGTAACGGAGCTCCTGTACTCGCACAGAGGACCTCTGTTAGGTCAGCTTCCTCACCACTACCATGTGACTCTGGGATGCTTTAGTCAACGAGGCAGGACTGGGGTCTCTGCTGACCTTTTCCGCTGGACCAGGCTACAATGGTTATATCTTTTTTCCTCTTGTACCCTTCTCTACTGTACAACAGCAGTGATCATAACCTTTTTCCTCCACAAATTAGTCAAGACTGAATGTAGGGGGTAGAATGAACAACCGTTATTGCATACATCTCTGGGGTTTTTTTGGCCATCCAAACAATACAATGACACGTATAGGAATCCTCTCCACAGCACCACTGTGCCTGGGGTCTAAATTTCTACATAGAGGCCTCCCTATCTTTAGACAGCATCCTCACGTTATATGTCCCTAGATAGCTCATCACCCAGCACCTCCATTGTCCAAATAGTGCACTGAGAGAGTCTGTGCCCAAGCGACAGCGTGTTAAAGTTTTACCTGGTCACTCATTCTCTGATCCATCAAGGAATTCCAGGTGTGTTGCTGTTTAGTCCCAGTCTTACAAAAGGGATTTCTGGAGCTATTGGGACAGGAGCACCCTCAAATAATGGGTATCTTCCAATATCTCACCCCCCTGGCATCTTCTCCAAATAGCGCCTTAATTTGACCTTAACACCCGATCAAAGGTGCGCCTGACTCCCAGCGCAGTTCCAATCTGGAGAACAGTTCCACAGTTCAGGAGACATTACAAATGAAATATAATAGCTAGGGTTAAGCCCGTGTACCAGATCTAGTGTTAGCTGGACTGTGGTGAACTCATATTTATTAGATTTACCTTTCTGTTTTATCTCCAAATCAGGCACTTGGTGTGCAGGTTGGGTCCAGGCGATTCTCAGAGTCCCCCAATTCTAGATGAGGGATAGAGTAGGAACCCAGGGCTCCCAAATTATCTCTCCACAATGACAATAGCCCATTTTGATTCTTTAGAAGCTCTTGGGACAGGGACCATAGTCTGTGGGCACTGAGGCAGGCCTCAAGCCCCTCCAGTAGCCATGGGCACAGGGCTTCTGTCACAGTCACCATCAAAGTCCATTTGAAATTTTGTAGATAGATCATTTGGAAAGTTTTTTTCAACAGTATTTGGAAAACTTGTGAAATCAAGACCTAAGTTGGATAAACACTCTGAACGCTTAAAACATCTATGCCTTCAATTTTATTTTATTTCCACACAGTAAACACATAATTAATGCACTTATTATGGGAATTGATAAACACACATACAGTCCTTTTAGTGAGTTTTTTCCAAAGTGTTAGATGTTAAATGTATTAGGAATTAAGCACTGAAAATTAACATTTCCTTTTTTTTCCCCATTTTTTATTTTTGGCAAGTTTTGAAAAGTTGCAGGAGAGAAAAAAAAGAGACACAGGTATTTCCAAGTTATATTCCGAAGAAGTCTATTCATCTGAAATGCAAATAAATCTAGGACCACTCATTAGTCTCACGCCTGAAGAAAGGTTCCTACATGAAACAACGATGTCACCATTAAAGCTACCGAGATTCAATGGATGTGTGTCCTCCTCTTGTCATTTGGCCGCTTCAACCCGTGCCCTTATGCTATGTAACAAATAGAAAAGTGCACTGTGCAAAAAAGGCAATAATACCATTATAGAACACCAATGAATGATATAGCAGCTATTACAGACGTGTAAGTACCCTCAACTTAACACCAAGTTATGTAACACAATGGAGTGAACTAAGTGGAACAAATCCACTATGAGCAGGGCCGGCCCAAGACATTTTGCTTCCTGGGTCCAAGGATGAAATGCTGACCTCCTCCCACCCCTGACCCCCTTTCCCCCCCAAAAAAGTGCCCACTACAGTGTGGGTAGTCAATGTAGTGTATGTGTTTTTTTGCTGTGTAATGCAGCATGTCTGTGCTGTGTGTGTCTGTCAATGAATGAGTGTGTGCCAGTGACTGCATGTGTATCAGAGTGTGTTCATGTCAGTGTGTGTCTGTCAGTCAACGTGTGTGTTGGTTAAACAGTGTGTGAGACAATGACTGTCTGTCAGTGAGTGTACGTGTATCTGAGTGTGTATGTGTCACTGTGTCTGCCAATGAACAGTTTTAAGAGGAAAAGATGGAGCCTAAAGAGGAAGGGGTGGGTCTTAATCAGGATGAGGTGCTGCCTTGACAGTGAGGGATGGCGTAAATTTAGGTTAGGGGGTGCCCAGTTTTACTCGTGTAGGACAACACAAAGCCAAAATACACCACTGGTGCTGGGGATGTAGTTTGTCTGTGTATGCTGGGGATTTAGTGTGTGTCTCTGTACTGCGGATGTAGTGTCTGTCTGTGTGTGCTGGGGATGTAGTGTATCTGTGTGTGCTGGGGATCTAGTGTGTGTGGGGCTGGAGTGTCCTATAGGCGACTTAGGCAGTCGCCTAGGGTGCACTGGCCCGGGGGGCACCAAATTTGAGTGACCCGGTAGGAGGGAAGCGCACAGCACTCCTACCTGTTACTCAGTGTAGCGTGACCGGGTGGCGCTGACCACAGTACAGGTGTTCTGTTTCCCTTTACCCGGCCGGACTGAAAGGAAGTGCTCTCTCAGTGAATTAGAGGGAGTGGGAGAGACCACCAGGGGAGGGGGGAGTGGGAGAGTCCATCAGGGGAGGGGGGAGTGGGAGAGAGACCACCAGGGAAGGGGGGTGTAAGAGAGACCAGGAGGGGGAGAGAGGAGAACCACCAGGGAAGGGGGAGAGAGACCACCAGGGGGGGGGAGAGAGAGACCACAATTGGAGGGATGGGGTTAGAGAGAGAGACCACCATTGGAGGGAGGGGGAGGGAGATCACCAAGGCAGGGGGGAGAGAGAGAGACCACCAGAAAGAGACCACAATTGGAGGGAAGGGGGGACCACCAGGGGAGGTTGGGAGTGCGAGAAACCGTGAGGGGGGGGAGAGACCTGGA